ACAAGTATAATAAGTGCGCCGAAATGGGGCGTGGTGCCCCCTATGGGGCCACGAAACGTGTGAGGGGTGCGCCGAAAGGGGGCGGCGGTGCCATGCGAAGTGTCCCACTGGAGCCTTAGGTGCAGCTGCCTGAAGGGCCACGAAACGTGTGAGGGGTGTGCCGGAATCGTGCGGCGGTGCCATGTGAAGTTTCCCAGTGAGGCCTTTGGTGGAGCTTTCTATGGGGCCACGAAACGTGTGAGGAGTGTGCCGAAAAGGGGGGGCGGTGCCATGTGAACCTTCCCATTGGGGCCTTTGGCGGAGCTCCCGATGGGGCCACGAAACGTGTGAGGTGTGTTCCGAAATTGGGCGGCGGCGCCATGCGAACTTTCCCACTCGGGGTTCGGGGGAGCTCCACATGGAGCCGCGAAACGTGTGAGGGGTGTGCCGAAATGGTGCGGCGGTGCCATGCGAACTTTTCCACTGGGGCTTTAGGTGGGGCTCCTTATGGAACCAGGAGGGGTACGCTGAAATGGGGCGGCGGTGCCATGCGAACTTTTCCATTGTGGTCTTAGGTGGAGCCCCCCATGAGGCCACGAAACGTGCGAGGGGTGCGCCAAACGGGATGGGCATGCGGAGAGCAGAGGCTAGGAGGGGAGGAGGGAGGAGGAGGAGGGGGAGGAGGGGAAGGGGGAGGAGGAAGGAAGGAACGCGGGGTACTGTCTCTTCAAAACGAGGACCTAACACCACAGGATGGTTGGGAAGAGCTGCCAACGAACACCTTAAACGCTGCCAAGAAGCGCCTTCAACGCTGCCCAGGAGTATTGCACAAGCAGCCAAGGATGACCTTAAAGGCTGTCATGGAGCGCGTGAAGCTGTGAATGGGGCGCCTTACAAGCTGCTAAGGAGCGCCGTGAAAACTGCAATGGGGTGCCATAGAAGCTGTCAGGGCGCGCCATGAAATGTGCGAAGGAGCGCCTGAAAAGCTGCCAAGGAGCGCCCTAAATTCTGCCAGGGAGCGCCTTCAAAGCTGCCAGGAGCGTTCCCAGAAAATGCAAAGGAGCGCGTTCAAAGCTGCGAAGGAGCGCCTCAGAAGCTGGTACGGAGCGCTTGAAACATGCTATAGCAGCTTTGAAAGTTTCGCGATCTTCAGAGCCACTTCACTGGAGGACCAATTCACCGTGGAATGGACCAGCTTACCTCGGAACGGATTCCTGATCTGTTGGAGGGCCTCGGCCTCCCCTCGAGGGCCGAGGACGGAGCAGGTTCTCGGATGTTTCTGTGCGCTTCGGGCTGTGTTGGGCGGGCGTGTGGTCCCCGGGGTCATCCTCCTCGGGAGGAGGCGGCCGCCTTTGGGTCGTTACCTCCGTCGGCATGCCCAGGGCAGGGGGGGGGGGGTCGGGGTGGCTGCGTGGCGAACGCTCTCGCGGCAGGGCCCCCCCCCTCGCCACCGTATCGTCGCGCCTGCTTGGGGTCCTGGAGTCGGCCTACAGCGAATGACCCGCGCTGTCGCACAGCCGCGATCGTTCGAGGCGGAACGATCCACGCGGCGTCGGAAGCCAGCGCCCAAGTCGTCACGACGTGAACTTGCCGCAGTCTGTGTGTGCTTGTGTGTGGTGTGTGTGCATGTGCCTGTGTGTGGTATGTGTGTGTGGGCTTGTGTGTGTGTGTGTGGGCTTGTGTGTGTGTTGTGAGTTTGAGGGCGTGTGTTTTGTGTGTGTGTGTGTGTGTTTTTTTTGTGTGTGTGTGTGTGTGTGTGTTTCTTTGTGTGTGTGTGTGTTTGCGTGTGTGGTGGGCGCCGACACTGCCGCCACGGGCAGCAGGTCTGCTCCTGCTCCTAGCAGCGCGCGCGGGCGGCGCGGAGGCGGCTTGGCGGGGCGCTTTCCAGGCTCGCCGGGAGGCCCGCCCGAGGGCGCCAGACTAATTAGGTGCACGCGGCCGGGCTGCGAGCCGCGCGCCTGGCTTTCCCCCCCCCCGCCCCCTCCCTCCCTCCCCCTCCTGCCTCTCTGCCACAGGGCTCCGCTGGATGGTAAAACGTGTGTGTGTGTGTGTGTGTGTGTATGTGTGTGTGTGTGTGTGTCTGTGTGTGTGTGCGTTCGTGGTTAGTCATGGCGTATCATTGCTTTGCCCGTTCTACGCGATGCCAAGCAACGGCAAGCAATGCGAGGCCATGCCAAGCAACGCCCGACGAACACATGCTCACCGGTTGTGCCTCCTCCGTTCCCCGCGCGCCCCCCCAGGCGCCCCCCCACCCCCCACCTCAGGCGCAGGCGGCCCTCCAGCCGCACGGCCTGGTCGAGGCCGACGTGCGGGAGCTGGACGCGATCCTGAACGAGCAGCTGCCCGAGGGCGCCCCCGACGAGGGGGGCGACGAGTCTGGGGCAGTCCGCGAAGGGCCCTTGCCCGTGGGAGTTCGAAGAGGAAGTTGTCCTCTCTCTTCCTTGGGTGGAGGGCGGCGGAAGGAAAACGAGGCTGGCTCCCCCGTCGGAAGGCCGGCGGGCCAATAGCGAGGATTGGGACGGGGGGGAGCGAAAATAGCTTTAAGTCGGGCGTGTCCTTCATAGTAAAAAAATGCTGGGGACGATGTTTTTGGTACTTTGAAACATTTTGGGTGATTTTTTTTGTCATTCTTTATTTTTCTTCCAAAATTCCCCTGTATAGGGGGACACGCCCGACTTAAAAATAGCTAGTTTCCGCCCGGCCGCCGGGCATGTTTCCCGATACGTGGGCGCCTTTAGTGCCGGGAGGCGCCAGGAAAATTAGTCACATGTATTTGGTTCGCTCATCCTTTCTTTGCTGTACCCAATCTCCGTTCACCGAGGAGGTCGTCAAGTCGGGGTACGGTATCGAGCGAAATGCGTCGTTCGTGGGCGCGAAGCTCCATGAGATGGAGCGCGCGTTCTTGAGCCCGCAGGGTGGGAATCACGGCGGGCCCCCCAGGGAAACTTGCACGCACATCTCAGAACACGAAGTGCCCGCGGGCGTGGCCTCCACGCGCGCGCGTGTCCGAAGAGTAGGCCCGGTCTTGGGGCTCTTTTGTCGCTTTCGTGGGGGCCTCCTCGGTTCTCTGAGGGCCGTTGGCGTGCCTTGGGGTGTCGTGGGGTCGCGTTGGTCACTCTTGTGAGCCTACTTATCTTGGGGCGTATTGAGGCCGTTTTGGGGTAATTAATCTGGCGGCCCCTTGAGGGCGTCTTGGGGCCGTCTTGGAGGCCTCCGGGGTCGTGTTGGGGCCGTCTAGCGTGCGGCTTGGGCCGTCCAGGGGTCTCTGGAGCCTTTTCGGAAGCTTGGAGCCTTTTCGGAAGCTTCAGCAGTACATCTTGGGGCCAAATTCAACCGAAAGGTGAAGGATGACCATTTCCAGCTGCCCGCGGCAAACGCGGCCCCGGCGCAGCAGCGCAACAGCGCGGCATGAAGCATGATGAGGTGAAGACCCGTTCCAGTTCAGCGCACTGCCTGAATTCGCGTGAGCCTGACACGCACTCTCTTCTTGTTTGCAGCCTCTTTCTCCCCCTCGTTCTTCATCTGGACGGTGGAAAACAAGGTCGACTGCGCCGACATTCGCGCGTAAGCTTCCAGCGTGAGGCCGCGCCTAAGCGCCCTCGTTTCCAATGTGGCGTGCCGCGCTGGGAGCCTGCATAAGGTGGGGCGTAGGGTCGCTACGCCATCTCGCGTAAGACCCGGATGTGTTCGTCACCCATTTTGGAGGCGCGTTCGGGGTCATTCGGGGCCTCTCTGGGCACCTTTGGGGCCCTTTCCGGAGGGCCTTCGAGAAGCCCGTCGGGAGTCCAGCAGCTGGTCTATGCTAAACTGTTATGCCAAGGTATCCCGAGGAGGCTCGTATGAACCATCCCGGGGATGTCTTGGAGCCCTAATGGGCCGCACTTGCCCGTTACGAAAATGAATCGCTGAGCGGGCGACCGTTTCCACCGCAGGCACGGTCTTGGGATTTAGGTCGTTCTTCGAGGGTATCTCGGACCACTGGGGCCTCCAGGGTCCCAACACCATGTGGTGACGGAGCCTGCGGTGATGTCTGTGTGGATTCCGAGATCACCGTCAGGCCTGTCACACGGTTTTGGGACCCCCTAATGAGATGTTGGTCGTGGTCTTGAAGGGGGTGTTGGAGACACTGGGGTCTTAGAGGGTAGTCGGACATCGTGGAGCCGTCTTTGCGCGAACTTGGGCCGTCGTGGAGCCGTCTTGGGGCCGAAACGGGCGCCCAGACTAGGGATAGGAGGCTCTGGGCGCGCGAGCGGCCAGTGTGTGGCGGAACCCCTGGAACATTGCGGGCAGACGCTTCATCATAGAGTGCCAACAGACATTTGATATGATACGGCCGAGCATCTTATTGAGAATCCTCCTCCCGAAAAATCGGGCCAGCGTTTCTCAACCAACTTACTGGAAGGTCGGCTCAGCTTCTTGGGCACGATCACCCCTCCAGCGTTCATGACAGACACTGTCCCAGGGTTGCTTTCAGAAACCTTCGGGAAGCTGGACCAGATGTCTTAAATTAGAAGTTTCTTGATCACATGTTCGTCTGTCGTCCGCTATCGCGAAGCCGCGCAGGCGGATGCAACATCCTGCGGGATCTTGACAAGTTTGGCATCTATGGGGCTCTGTGCGGGGTGCCATCTCGTAGCCACCTCGGAGCCCCTTGAGGCCATACAGGCGGCCATGTTGGCGTCTGCTGGGGTAATCCTGGAGGCAATTTGATAATCCTGGGCCTCCATGGGTCCGATCCGGTGCCATCTTGAGCCATCTCCAAGCAATGCGCGAGCCATATTTGAGCCATCTGCTGCCACCTTGGACCAATGTATGACGCCCTTGAGCCCTTCGGGGGATCTACTGGCAGAATCTGCTAGCCATCTCTTCTGCAATATACAAGTATGGTCTCGGTCTTCGCACTCTGGGTGACACGCACTCACAGCGTGAGCAAGCGAATTGCTAATGCATCTGATGGCCTGGCTTACGCTCGGCTATTCTATACTATTTGGGGACCTTACGGAGGGAGGCGACGACGGCGGCGACGACGATGCTGACGCTCTGGATCCCGTCTTGGGGCTCTCTTCGGAGCCTTTTGGGCTCTGTTGGGGGGCCTCTTGGGAGACATTTTGGGAGGCTCCGTGATCACTTGGAGTCGCCTCGGAGCGGATCTGAGGCCTCTTGGAGGCACGCGGGAGAATTCAGCACCCCGCAACAGCAGATAAGAATGAGGAACCTCCAGGGGGGTTCCGAGAGCAGGGGGAGACGCCCAAAAGATAGAACGTGTATTCGGATCTGTCATGGTGTCCCACGCAGCTGTCGAGTTTTTTTATAACGCGTATCTATTTTCATAGAAACTGGATAAACGGCTTGTTTAGCCGTTTGTCCAGTTCTGCTCTCTGTCCACCACGGCCATGTTTAGCAGCTTGGTGGGGCAATTTTGCGCCATGATGGTCGTATCTGTTTTTTGTCCGGCATTGGCAGTGCTCTCAGCAGGAATGTTCATCGGTGGGGCTATGGCTTGGTGGTGTCCGCTCCTTCTCCCTGCCTCCCCCCCAAACATCTGGACAAACGGCTTGAGACATCCTAACATGTCCGCGTTTATTCCGTGCCTATCCGTGTCTAACATGAAGCGTGTCTATGTTTGCGAAACGTGTCTGTGTCTTAGTAACTGTTCGTGTCTATGTCCATAGTTTTGAAGCTATCCGTGTCTATCCCGTCGTGTCTATTGTTTTGGAACGTGTGTCCATTTCCATGTCCCCGCGATCCGTCCACAGTGCGGAGCCATTGTTTCGTGCGTGTGTGCTATGCGTACTTGTGCCTTCATAGGAGTGTGTGTGTGCATATATAGATACGTGCATACATGTTATATTACATGTATATAAGCATAGGCATGTAATTATGCATGGATACTAACACACCTGTATGTGCATATGCATGGAAGAGAGAGATAGAGAGATCACAAAAAATGAGAGAGGGAGAGAGAGTGAGAGAGAGGGAGAGAACGAGAAAGAGAGAGAGAGAGAGAGACACACATAGAGACAGAGAGAGGAGGAGGAGGAGAAGGAGGAGGAGCGCTGAAGAGTGCGATGGGGTATGGGGGAGTCTGGAGGAGTGCCGAGGAGCGCGATGGAGTTGGGGGGGACTGCGGTTGAGCGCCGTGGAGTGCGAGGGAGTGGGGAGGAGTCTGAAGGAGTGCGGCACCGAGGAGTGCAATGGAGTGGTGAGGCGTCGGGAGGAGCGCCGAGGAGTGACATGGAGTGAGGAGGAATCTCGAGGAGTGGGGAGTAGGGAGAAGTGCAATGGATTGGAGAAGAGTCCAGAGGAGTGAGTGGGAAGGCACACCGATGAAGGTACGGGCGTGAATGTGTACAGGACTACGTGTATGTTTCTGTGCACGCACGTGTGTTAATCTACACATGCAGGCACACCCTATTACGGACGTTCGTGTATATGTATGAAATCATGTCGTGTTTGCTTGTCCCTATTTCTCTGTCTTGGAAATCCACACTTCGTGTTTACGTCTATATATTTTCGCTGGCGTTTTTGTTTACTTTTCGTGGCACGAAGATATATGCACGAATACGTCTAGAGACTGTGTAACCCTTTGAAGGGAAACGCCAAGAAGATAGACACCGTCTCTTGCAGGCCTGTCCGCATAGGGGGAAGGCGGCGCGAGCAACGGGTGAAATCTGAAGTGCCGTTTCGATTGATTTTTGAGGTTCGAGTCTGCAAAAGGTGAGTCACAAGACGAACTGGATCTTTGAGGCGCAGAAGCTCATATATGCATTTCACCCTGAGCCCTTCACCCTGGGAAAATGCCCAGTCCTCAGGGGGACCACCCCTTTGTCCCCCTGGTCCGCAGGGGGGACCCCCCAGGGTCACGACCCCCGGGAACCCCCCAGGATCCCCCCCGAGGCCCCACCGGGACCCCCCCCCCGCCCCCGGGACCCCCCCCCCCGCGACGCGCCCTCCCCCCCCCATGGTCATTTTGCTGTTCCCACCAAGTGCTCCTCCCGCCCACCCATCGTCCTCGTCGCTTCCTCTTTGTTGTTCTCTTCTCCCTTGTTTTATTCCACCTCGTATCTGCCGTGCCTTCCTCCTTCGTTTCGTTCCCCATGCAGTTGCATATTCTCCCACCAGCCCATCCATATCCCAAGTCCAGGCACGCCGTCGGGAGAAGGGAATAAGAGAAACATAACGTGAAACAGGGAAGCCCTCAATGATGGTGAAATTCAGCGTTAAATTAGTTCCCCCACCCGCCAGAGCCCCAGCAGCGGCCTCTTGGAGCAATATCGGGGCGCTCTTGGGGTGCTTTGGGGCCGTCGTGGGGCGGTCTTCGAGCCGTCTTGAGGCCTCAGACGTCCACC